TCGACTCCTTCATCAACATAGAAAATCTAGATATAATCAATTATTGTGAGAAATAATCTATTATTGTGACATCGTTCCTTTATTTAAAAATTTCGAATCTCAAAGTGACGATGCCAAAAAGAAAAGAAAATCCACCTGAAGAATGTTCATCATGGACTTCCAGTAGAAAAAGATCAAAGAGACCTTCATTTGAAGTTGTAGAAAATGTAAATCACTGTTATGTTTATCCCCGATCCAGATGATTTTGGAGAGTCGGAAAATGATTATTCGGATGATGATGATGATATTCAACTAAACGAAAGCTATTCAACATCGTTTGATTCAATATTCCCTAGTTCTTCATATAGTAATATATATGATAAATATAATAACTCTCAAAAAAAGTTAGAAGAAAATCATGACTTTGATTGGGTAAACGGAGAAGAAATGTATACGAACTTTCTCACAAGTGATATATTACTCTCAACTTCAGATAAAAACTTGATTTCAAGAAGTTCTTCTCCTAAAATCTTCGAATTTTTTGTTTCCTCAAAATTAAAAACATATCTCATTGAAGCTACGAAAGAAAATGGCTACAATTTATCATTGAGAGAACTAAATATTTTTCTTGGCATTATAATTTTATCGTCATATAATATGAGAAAATCGCAATGAGACTATTGGTCGACAGATCCGTATTTGACATGTGATATCGTTACCAGATCTATGAGTCGAAGTACTTTCGAACTAATAAAAAGTAAACTGAAATTTTGCAAATTGGAAGATAAAAATGACTCAGATAAAGTTTATCGCGTTCGACCAACAGTGGAAATTTTCAAAAAGGATTTAATAAGATTTGGTTTGTTTTGTACAGCATTGTCAATCGATGAGATGATGGTCAAGTATTACGGTAGATGTAAATTAAAGCAATTTATAAAATCTAAGCCGATACGATTTGGTATAAAACTTTGGGGCTTGTGTAGCGTGAATGGATATGTTTTTAATTTTGATATCTATTGTGGAAAGAATGAGGAAGTTGACAAGTTATCTAAATGTGCATTAGGAATTAGAGTTTTTCTGCATATACTTGAAAATTTATTAAAAAATACTTCTTTTCGCAAACTTTATCAATTTCATGTCTATTTTGATAACTTATTCTGTTCTCCAGATTTACTAGTCCATTTGAAAAAAATAGGACTTCAAGCAACCTGTAAAGTAAGGGAAAACAGAGTAAGTGTGACAAACGTTTTAGAGAAAAAGGCACATAGAGGTACTTATANGTACTTATGTAGTGCAACATGATAAAAATAGTGGAATCAATTTTATCACTGTTCAAGATTCAAAACCAGTTTCTATACTATCAACCGCAGCTGGTATCACTCCACAAAGTAATGTAAACAGATATAATAAGGAAGAAAAAAAGGAAGGAGTTCTACCATTTCCTAATGCATTTACAGTATACAATAAATACATGGGTGGAGTTGACTTACACGACAAGTATTGTAATAGCATCTTGCCCATTATTCGATCTAAAAAATGGACGTGGATAATTTTTGTGAGAATAGTACAAGCTGCTATTACAAATGCTACGGTTTTATGTAACACTGTCAACCCTGAAAAAAGCGTGGAATAAAAGAATTTGCTACGGATATTAGCAAATATTATTTAGAGCAACACCACTTCAATCATCAGTTG